CCTTCCTTCCTTCCTTTCTTTCTTTCTTTCTTTCTTTCTTTCTTTCTTTCTTTCTTTCTTTCTTTCTTTCTTTCTTTCTTTCTTTTTGCTATAGGGCATGTACCCTCACCAGACAGACAGAGAGACAGAAAGCAAGAAATCACCCCCCAGGGGGGATGGCCATGCCACAATCCCTTCTCCTCCATTCTCCTCTCGGGATCTTGCGTACGCACACACATGCGCCCAGCGTGAGTTTAAGCCACCGGGTCCGGGACTCGAACCTCAGTTGACTACATGGGAGTTCAGCGACACAGCCATTATGCCAACTGCTGGTCCTCTAGCAGCCTTTCCATTCAGGTATCTGTCCTCTCGTCTCTAGGAGCCCAAAAGGAGATTCGCATACTCACAGAACTATCTCTCCGCTATGGTGGCACCTCTGGATTCAGAAGAGGAGGAGAAGACAGCCCAGAAGAAATCCCGCCAGGCCTGGCTCACAGCCAGTGGATTCCAAGTGCTGGGTCTTCAGAGCATCAGGAGCAATCACCAAGACCTCGGCTCTCTTGGCCCCATTAAAAGGCTGAATGAGGTCCAGTGAGAGAAGCAGGGCTGCAGGTGGGGTGTCTATGAGGAGTGCTCTCCTGACCAATTTGCTCCCAATTTAGGGGTGGAAGGAAAACAAACTGTTTGCTAATGAGCTTGAATCAGTGCTGGATCGAGGCAGGTGGAGCTGGGACCGGCGCCACCTGGACTTTGACCTGTACAAGCAGCCTCCACCGTTCTTCACGCTGCCCGCTTCTCCAGCACTGAAGCCTGAAACAGGTGAGAAGAGACCTTGGCCAAGCTGAGCCTCCAACGCTCACGGAAGCAGGAGCTCTGTGGCCGTCCTGCTGACTGTTCTGCCTTAGCTCCCCGTCTAACCCTCCTCCGCTAAGAGATCAAGGTTCAGAACGTGTCCAGCGTAAGATGATGGCAGGCTGGGGCGGGGCCTTGGGTTCTAGTTCCTGTGAGACACTAGTTGTGTGACTGTGGGCAATCCTTTAGCTGCTCTGGGCTGGGTTTTCCTCAGCTATAAAATGGGAAAGTCCTAAGCCTGGACACCTGGTCATTAGCTGGGGGCAGAGGCTCTGGGTGTCACTGGGACCTTAGAGCTCCAGGATGCACTTCTTCTGTGGGGCTTCACCAATCCCTCTGGGTCCTCTCGGCCTCCTCTTTGTCTATTTATGAAGACGCCTCAAGATCATTTATAGGTTGATACATAACCCAGAGTTGTCAGTTACTCAAGCCCGCATCTTTTGTCAGTGAGAGAGTGATGAGTTTGTCTGGCAACAGGATTCTAGAGAAACCTTTCCTGGAAAGCTGGATCAGGTAAACAAGGTGGGTCTCTCCTTCCCCAATCTGAGGACAGCTGGCGGCAGCTCCGCGGAGCAGGCGGAGTGCCAATAACCTGCCGAAGCACCCCTCTACTTACCTGTACTGTGCTCCCCTCTGCCCCTGTAGGCCCCAGGCCTCTGGGCTCCTGAAGAGCCCCACAGCTGCTGTGTAGCTCTCAAGGAAACTCCTGTTGTCAGGCTCCAGAAGGCAAGGCTGCCTCCTCAGCAAGGCTTCCTAGTCACAGTTCCCAGAACACCTCACTGCTGAGAGGGGAGACACGTGCTGGCACCTCAAACCAAGCTGGATGAGCAGATTGCTGGCTGCTAATGTGGGCTGTCCATGTCCTAAGCTTCCAGTGAGGCCCCCTTTTAGGGGGCTGCCTAGAAGGAGGTGGGGCCCAGCAGTCCTTGTCAAACTTCTACGGTGCAGAGGGGCCCTTGCAGCCACCTGCTACTGTACAGAGCATACTCTGCATTTTGTGAGGTTTAGGTATTAATTACAACCATATCATTACTTACCCAACAAATGAGAACTCTGGTTTCACTGCAAAGCTGCGTCCACTCACAGAATTTGTGACTCCATTACCAAAGTGCTGGCAGGATGCTCAGGTCAGCCTGCCATGCCAGCTCAGGGGCAGCGTCCCTACCTGGCTCCTCTCTGCCTGTTTTCAAATAGGATTTATACATGGAGAGAAAAGAGAGACAGTGGCCTCCTCTCCACTCAAAAAAAAAAAAAAAAACATCTGCGATAGTGTCTTTTCAGACAGCAAACCCAAAGACCAGCCCTAAACTTGAAGCCTGCCTGAGGGGGATGTCTGGGACCCATCGAGATTTATAGACAACTGCAGAAATAGCCTGAGGAACATAAAGGCCCATTAGCACAATCTCCAGAACACTGTGTCCTCAGAGGCCAATCCTTGCAAATAATCAAACAGAAGGCCAGCAGGTGGCGTGGATCCCACATGGCTGACTATGCCGTTCAAGTCCTGACCTGGCAGCTTGGAAATCACTCGAGGCATGTGTGTATCTGTGCCCCAAATCCTGAGAGAATGAAGGAAAAGGAATCGTGGTGTGGCCATTCCCCTTGGGAGGTGATTTTTTTTTTCCCTCTTTCTCTCTGGTAAGCAAAGTTAGCATAATGGTTGTCGCTAGACTCCCACGTAGTAGACCGCGGTTCGCATCCCGGACCCGGTGGCTTAGAACTCAGCCGGGCGTGTGTGCATGTGTGCGTGTGTGCCCAAGATCCCAAGAGAAGAATGGAGGAGAAGGGATTGCGGCGTGACCATCCCCCCTGGGGGGTGATTTCTCGCTTTCTGTCTCTATGTCTCTCTCTCTCTCTGTCTGGCGAGCGCACGCGCCCTATAGCAAAAAAAAAAAAAAAAGAACAAAACAAAAACCAACCAACCAAACAAAGATAAAAGCCATTGATGGGATCAGATATATGCTATTTTATACCAGGCATTGTCCAAGAAGGGTCCATGATAACTCCTAAGGTTCTGTGGCCCTGGACTGGGCATGTGCCATAGGGTGAGGACAAGGGACCGGAAGCCATCACCAGTGGTGGTTCTCAGGGTCACTTTTGACAGACCCAGCCAAGGCTGGAAGTGCACACACACCATGACATCGGTACTCTTTCTCATTCAATGGGTCCTGGTACAGGTCTTACGTGTGTTTGGCTCCTCGTTTAAATGATGGATGTATGCACAGCTCTTCAAGCTGTTTCTTAGGAAACATGTGGTCTGGTAGAAATGACTCTCCCTGCCAGGCACACCATGGAGGCCCCAGCTCGAGCTGTCTGCACTGTGGTGTCTCCTCATATGTCCAGTAGCAGCTCTATGTAGCAGGTGTGAGCACTCAGACAGCAGGGCCTGCAGGGTCCAAATCTAGCGGTTCCCTCAGGCCAGGAGGAAGCCCTCCAGGTGTAAACTGTTAACTCGCAAGAACCCTGAGTTCTCCATCTTCTGCAAAGAGTCAGTTATCCAAAGCCTGGGGCAGTGGCAGCAGGGAGCACTGTCCCCTGCTCAGGTTGTCCTGTCCAGAGGGTGGGCACAGACATAGGCTTGCTTCTCTAGGACCTGCTGGGCAACTTTCTTACTCCACTCATCCAAGTTTTCTGGAGCATCTGGGAGGGAAAAAGTGGGTGACCACTGTGCACTGTGACAATATAACATGGCTGGAGTGGGGACATTCTTCGACAAAGCTAGTCCCTCCTTCAAACCCCAGGAAGTGCTTCTGGACTTCAGAGAGCTAGGGATGGAGGTGTTGTACTGATCAACCAGGGGCTTGCCCTGGTCATCTTGACATGAGTGAGGTGAGTGGGGAGAAGGCCTGCTCTGGGAGTGGTGGAGTTTCCAGTCCAGCCTGTGCAGAGTCACTGTGCGGCCCTCCACAGCCATGATGGCCTGTCAGCGCTGCAGGGTGTGGGCCAGCCCCAGAGCCAGGAGCTGCAGTCGGGGCCGCTCCCCTCAGCAGGCTCTGGATAGGACTGGGCTCTGTGAGACACTCACCAACAGGACCTCAAAGTCTGGCGTTAGAACGTGGCTGGGAAACTACAGAAGAGGGCACATTCTAGGCACATGGACAAGTGTGAGCCAAAGCCTGCATCCTCCAGGGTCCAGGCTCAGGCATGCCAGAGAGCTGCAGCTTCCTTCCGGCTGGTGTGCAGCGGACAAAGAGGGAGGTAAGATGCTGTCTCCTGATTCAGATGTGACATCTTCCTCTGTGAACCTTCCCTGGGCTGCTCCGAGGGTATAGCCAGCAGGGCCTGGCACAGGTGGTCTGCGTGAGAGCTCCTCAGACTGCCCTGGATGGGACCATTCCGTACACAGGCATGTCTCTTGCCTGGCAGGGAATCCTGGGTCTTATGCAGGCTCTAGGAGCCCGACAGGGTCCGGAGACAGCTCACTGTCACTAGAAGGGTGGAGCTGGGCCCTCTCTCCCCTCTCTAGGGCACTCCAGTTACACTTGTCCAGCTGAGACAAACTGAAGAGATTCTGGAAATACACTTCCTTGCAGAAGATACTGGCCAACAGAACTGCCACAACTGAGGTCAGAAAGCAGGAGCACTGAGAACTCTGGAACCCAGCTTCAAGCTTCAAAGAGCTCGTCAGCCAACCTCGGCTGCTAGCAGGTCTGGCTTAGGAGCCACAGGGTCCCCATGGGAAGTTATGTGGCACCTCTGAGCCTTGGTGTCCCCTCCTGAGGTTATAACACAACCCCAGTGTCCACAGGCTACCCTGGGATGTGTCACGGCCTTGGCACCCAGCAGGGTGAGCTGACAGGCAGGCAGAGGGGTGACGGCGCTGAGTTCGGGAACCTCCGCTGTTCATCACCTCCTCTCTCTCCAGGCAGGAAGACATAAGGGCACTGTCCCACCTCCTCAGCACCGCAGACCCTCACAGCTGTGGCTTAGCAGCCCCCAGCCTCTCTAGTGGCACCTGTGCATCCCCCTGTGACTCAGCCCCTTGGTGACCACCTCCTGGCACCATGGCCCATGAATGGCCCCTCCCCCATGCTACCACTGACTTCATTAAAGTGCCACTGGGCAGCAGCCAGCAGGGACAGACTCAGCTCGTGGTCCTGGTTCTGCAGCCTGATACGGATCACGTGACAGCATTGCCGTCATGCCATACAGGTGGGTGAGGATGTTGGCCACCTGCTTCAGCAGCCGCTGTTCCTCCACAAGGGTCTGGAGACAGGCTCTGAGTGGAGACATGGTACCTGGACACTCATATTCCTTCTCAGGGCCAGAGCCTCACCTGCCCCTGAGTCAGTAATGTTCCCTCAAATGGCAAGGCCACACCAGCTCCCAGAAACTCGGCTGGGACCAGAGGCTGGCACTCCATGTGTTCACAGACCTTTCAGCACAAGGAGTCCATAGGCCCCCAAATCCAGGCCTCTCCACACCCAGGAGCCCTCTTCACCAGGAAAATGTAGGTGAAAATCCTACAGAAAGCTCCCCCTGCAGGGGCTACCACCTGAGTGGCTTCTTGGCCTGGGGACTAGCAGATTCAGCCTGCCCTCCTGGTCCCAGAGATGGCAGTTGGCCAAGATGGTGGGTATGGGTTAAGCCAGAGGCTCCCAGGTTGGCAGCCAGCCTGCCTCACCAGAGCAGAGCAGCAATGTCTCAACAGTCTGGTTGGAGTGATATAAGCTCTCCTGGAGCTAGGTGTTGCTATCCTACAGGCCAGAAGGTGGGTCTCAGCCCAGTACCTGTGCCCACCAGTGTCCCAGCTTGCCCCACCAGGAAAGGGCTGAAGAGCCCAGGTGGGCACCTGTGTTCTCCAGACTAGCTGGTCCTCTCTGAGCGACCCTGGAGGAGCCAAGCCTCTGGTCCTCCTCCTGGGATGGGGTACCTGGCAGGAGGGAGCCTGAATGCAGCTATGCCTGCTGGGCCCACTCACCAAGACGGGGGTGCATGACACCAAGATCACCTATCAGCCCCAGGTCCATGGTTTGGCCCAGGGATTCTCCAAGTCTTCGACTGATAGTCTTCATGACTGTGGTCCCTTGGTGCCGTTTGAACTGCAGAAAGCACACCACACTGTGCCTGAGGGCCACTGGCCCACTGCCTGGCAACATGGCTGCGGTTCTTGCAGCTCCTGCCAAAACTCCCACCTGCAGAGAGCAGCCATTGCCTCAGGCAGTCCCATGTGCTCACTGCACACAGAGTGGGAGCCCAGGCAGCTGCCCGGAGTGGCCTCCCTGCTCATGAGTCTGCAAAATGCCATGAGCAACCAGGACTGACTCTGGCAGCAGTGTCCAGCTGCTCTGCCCCAGGATGGGGTAGTGGAGTGGAGGGGTACGAGGGGAAGCTGGTCCTGGCCAGAGACTGGCAGTGGTAAAAGGGACATTTCCCATTCCCCAAGTCCTAAAAAGCCAGCTTCCCCAGTGTGAGCAAGGAGCTATGAGGAAGGGGTGAGATGGAAATTCCAGCAAGGCGGGGGCAGAATGGGCTTCTTGAGCAGCTGTCCCCCTCACCCACAGGTGAGGGCCCTGTACTTGCCAGCCAAACCCTGCCCCCAAGACAGGGCAACCCTTTTTTCTTGCCACCCTGGGCTGGCCTCTGTTGGACAGGTGGGGCCTGAGCAGGTGGGGAAAGCTACCTACTTAATCTTTGAAGTCAAGATGCATGCAGCATGCTGCAGACCTGTCAGGGCAGCATATATCCGGAGAATCTCGTTGGGCCCTGTGGTCAGCAGTGCAGCAGTCACAGGGCAGCCCTGGCACAGGGGTGTGTGTGAGCTACTGTAGAAGCAGCCAGGAGCAGAGTGTGACCACGACTGGGGAGCCACTAGCTGGCTGCAGACTCCCGCAGGGCCCTGTCATCCAGCTCCTCAAAACGGGGACCAGCTTTCCTGGAAACCAGGAGTAATAATGTCCAGGGCTCAGTCAATGCCAGGCAGATGTCTGCCGGCTGTGGGTCGAGGCCAGCTCCCCAGAGAAGCCATAACTGCTGAGAGCAGCAGCTGGAGCTCGTACTTAGTGTTGACACCCAGCAGGACACACGCACCACCCCTGCCCATCCATGTCCTGCAGACCACTGTGAGGGCCATTGTGCACCAGGGTGCCATGGGTCAGAATGCTGGGTCAGCCCCAGGTCACGCAGCCAGCACTGGGGCTCAGGACTGCTCTGTGGACAGTGAGGCTCCTGCAGTGGCAGGAAGGAGAGGGGGCCTCCAGGCAGAACCAGCCCCAGCTCCAGCAGGAACACCCGCTGCACACAAGGCTCAGCACCCTTGGAGATGGCAGCTGTAAGGGTGTCTTGAACCCCTGTCAGCCACCCCACTCCACCAGGGAAGAGCCAGCCCTCCGGGTTGAGGGGAGGCTGCCCTGTGGCATGTCCCATGCCCTCAGGCCAAGCTTGGGCCTGTCTGTTGGAGGAAGAGAGCTGCTCACATGGTCTGTGCTGGGGGCAGAGGTGGCCAGCAAAGCCTTCCGCTAGGTGAGAGCCACAAACCAGGGTCTGCCCCGTCCACCTCACAACTTTGATCAGCTCCATCTGTCTACTCCCAAGACCCCCATCCCAGAGGAGTGCCCCTGGCCTCATCCCTGTAACCACCTTCCACATCACCCCAGGGGAAGCTCCCTGAACACAACAACCTAGTCCTCCCCCGCTCTAACCTGGGATGATGTCCAAAGCCTGTGCTTGCCAGTTGGCAGCTCTAATATTCCTCATTGCACTTTGCCCCAGCCCCCCAGGCAGCGCCGACCACTCCCAGGAAGGCTCTCTTGCCTTCTCCAAGGGCTGGTGGTCAAGGCCCAACTGGGCCTGCACGCTGTTTCCCTCCCAGCCCTGCTCGAAGTCCCTCGTGCTCCCAGGGTCAAGTGCATGCTTCAGGAGGCTCAGCTCCCCTGGTTGACGCCCGCCCCTTGGTGTCCCAATGTGCTTGTAGCACCATCCTCCTTGGTGAGAACATGACGTCCAAGGTCATCTGTAAGGCTCCTCTTCGCCTCTTGCCACCTGGCACATGTGGCCCAAACTGACACTTCGGGTATATGTATTCACAGGGTAGTGATTAGAGGGAGAGCAGGCAGAATGAGGAGGGCCCAGAGGTTGTCCCTTGGAATTGTGCACTGGAGCTGGGACTGGAACCTGGGGTGTCCTATAGGAGCTGCTTCTCCCACCATTTCCAGCCTGAAGCAATGTGGCAAAGACCTTCAGTGAGTCATCAGGAGGCAGTGGCCCAGTGAACGAGTAGAGTAGGCCCTCAGGAGTCGTCCTCTGAGCAAGAGGGTGTCCTCTCTTGGCCCCACCCCATCTCCTTTGCAAAGCAGAGTCTACACGGTGTTGGTGAGAAGACCTAAGGAGACAATGTGCATGCCAGCTCTGGCTCTCAAAGCTGCAGGGGCACTTACCTTGAAGATGAGGCTGCAGTGTCACATGGCATGCACTCACAGCGGTGGGCCCTCATGGAGCCTGAGCTCCCGAGAATCTGCAGTACCTCACTCACGCACTGCCACGCACCCTCAGAGCTGAACACCTGCCACAGACCAGGGCGAGGTCAGCATGGCGTCATCCCTGAGTACCCTCCCAGAGGAGGAGATAAATAAGGGGGAGGCTCTGTGAGGAACTCAGGCTTTGGGAGGAGGTGGTCCAGAAGGGCTTGACAACCAGGGCAAGGCCTTTGCTTCCTCAACCAGTGACCAGTTGTCCCCATCCCAGCATGACCTTCCTCTAGCCCTTCCACACCTGAGTTGACTGTGCTTAAAAAACCCACCTAAGCTCTCACATTCTCCAGGAAGCTTGACTCACTCCTACCCTGGAAGGAAGGAAGAGCAGACAGATGGCAAATAACCTAACAGTGCATCTCAAGGGACTCAAAAAGGAAGAACAAGTGGAACCCAAAAGTAACAGAGGGAAAGAAATAGTAAATATCAGAGCAAAAATAAATTGCAGACCAAAAGAGCAACACCAAAAATAATAAATAAAGTCAAGATGGGACCAGCAGATGGTGTAATGGCTTTGTTGCTGGCTCCCATGTAGTGGACCACCATTCGGGTCTTGAACCCAGAGGCTTCAAACACGCCGGGCGTGTGTGTGTGTACATGCCCAATATTCCCAAAGGAGAATGGAGGAGAAGAGATTGTGGCATGGGCATCCCCCCTGCAGGGTGGTTCCTTGCTTTCTGTTTCTCTGTCTCTGTTTCCCTGGGGAGCACCCATGTCCTATAGCAAAAATCTCTCTCTCTAAAAAAAAGATGGAAACTATTGGCTGAATAAAATTGACAAACCACTAGCTAAATGAAAAACAGGGCACTATTACACCAGATCATCACAGAAATGTAAAAGATCATCAGGGAGTAATATGAGTGACTACATGCCAACAAGCTGGAAGACTTAAACAGGTGGACAAATTTCTGGACATAGATGATGTACCTAGATTAAACCAGGAAAAATATAATAGAAAGACAAGTAATGAGACTGAGTAATTAATAAACAGTCGTCTTTTTTTTTTTGCAATGTTCACATTTTTTATTAGAAGGTATAAAATACATGCAATCAATACTGTTCCTTTTATATGCATGTGAAACAGCTGGGAGGTATATAGATCTGTACTTGACTTTCTTTTTAAATTTTATTTAACTTTATTTAATTACTTATTTTAATTTTACCAGAGAGGATCAGAGAGAGAGAGAGCGAGCAAGCAAGCTGGCAGGTCCAGGATTCCAGCCATGGTCGGCCATGTTGGAGTCCGGCACCCTTTACCACCATGCCACCTGCCAACCCCGGTATTTCACTTTTTGTCAAGATTATCTTCCATCAAATTACTTATATCCAGGTTTCTCCAAGTCTGAAATTTTCTTTCCACTGGATAAGAGTATGTAGTGGGAAGTTCAATTGGTAATATATTTTAAAAAAAAATCATAGTCAAGCTGTCTTAGTTTTAAGGATTTCTGGATTTCGTCCTTGGAGGAGGTCAGGATCTTCCCAAGACCCGAGTTTTTGAATATTCTTCCAGTCATCAAAAGTAGAATCCTTTATTTTCTTGTACTCCAACTCTAAAGATATTTTATTTCTTTTCAGTTTTTTCCCAAATTCAGGATCAATTTTAATCTTCACAGCATCATATCAGATTTGTGAAAACTCACGAAGACCAGAAGAACCTCCGATAATCAGCAACATGGGGATTCTGTAGCGAACGGTCTTATTTTTCCCTAAGACACGCATCGCCGAGGCTGCAAACATAATTGAATTCTCCGACCTTTTCAGATGTCTCTCTAAATGGGCCCAGAGCATCCTCCCATATCTCAGAGTACCAAGCTCCCACCTAGTAACCTAGTAAAGGACATCCTTGCCTCACTTCTTTAATTTGACTGTTAGGTAGGCGTGGTCCTCTCCAGATTGGCTCAATAAACAGTCTTCTAAAAAAGAAAAGGCTAGGTTAAGATTGCTTCACTGCTGAACTGTACAAATCCTTTAAATGGAAATTGACACAAATTTTTCTCAAACTATTTTAAAAAATACAAAAAGAGGGAACCCTCCCAAATTAATTTTGTAGAGCCACCATCACCTTGACACCAAAGCACATAAGGACACAATAAAAACAAGAAAACTACAAACCAGACCACCCAGTGGCATGGTGATTAAGGCAACTGGATCCTGCTTGGCCAACTGTGTGGTTGGAGTCCCAGACCCAATGGCCTGGGAAATATGCAGGGTGCGCGTGCATGAATGTGTGCTCAATGTCCTGAGAAGACGATAGAGAAGGGCTTGTGGTGTGGCCATCACCCTTAGGGGATACTTTTTTGCTTTCTATCTCCCTCTGTGTCCCTCTGTCTACAAGTGCATGCACCCTATGGCAAAAATACTCAAAAAAAAAAAAAAAAAAAAAAAAAAAAAAACTACCGTCTTTTGACCCAAAAAAACGA